ATAAAAGGCCAAGACCCAGGAACAACCTCCACAACCTGGAGTATATACAAATGAACCCAGGCCTGCTGACTCAGATCCACGCCATCCTAAAGCAGGGTATTCTCACGAATGAAAGGGCTGAGTATTTGGTGTAGAGAATCAGAAGTCTCCCACTGCCCACACATTTTCTCTTCAAAGATTTCTTTTCCAAGAACCCATTGAATAAAGGAAGGGAGGGAGCACGGAATGCCCCAGAAATCAGAATGCATGATGCAGGAGGAGGACAGTAAATAGTTCTCAAAGAGATCAGAAAATAAATTGGAAGCAATTTCAATACCACAAATAATAGACCTTTTTTCTAAGGCACCCCTTCCCTTTCCACCCAATTGTCATTCAGCAACTACTGAATACTTACCAATGAAAAACCTTACCCCTGACCTCAAGGCTGCTCCTGAGCTCTGGTAGAAAATGCTTTCCTCATCTATAAAACATGGCAAGCAAGGCAGGATTTAATAGTAAGAAAGTGAACTCAGGGCACAGTAGCACTGCAGGACTTCAAATGGAAATATGGAGACAAGCAGTGAGAACAGGCAGCAAAAGCAGGGCAGGTGAGGCTGGGACCAGGGCATCTGGAACCTTCCACACCAGCTTGGATCTCCATGCCAAACAACAGTTTTCAAGGAGAGGTATCTAAGAGGAACATGACTCTGGGAAACTTTCTGGCAGTATTGCTTACTGCATACTAGAAAGTAAAAGAATTTGGGGAACATTCACTAATTTGCTTCTTCAGGGGCTTGGGTAGGGAACAGGAACAGGAACCTGGCTCTAATTTCTGAACTTTTATCAGTAAAAACAATCCAACAAATGAAAGTTAGTCAATGAGAGAACTGGGAGGGTCTGCCCTCCCTCCTCCTTCCTTGAGTCAAGCCTTCTTGGGGGGGACCTCCTGACATTTAATTAAGTGAAGACAATGTCCACTGAAGGAAGCGGACCTGAAAGTGACACGCTACTGTGAAATGAGCATGGAGTAGGAGCTTGTTACATATATGAAATGGCCAGTGCTCTTGAGCAAAGCGCTTCACAACTTGAGACCTAAGTTTTCTCCTCCATATGCTGAGGGCTGGGCAAGATGATCTGTCAGGCCATTTTTACCCCTAAGCCACCAAAATCCAATTGCTTTAGCTTGTCACAAAAGCAGGTATCGAATGGCTATCCTGCAGTCCCTCCAGTCAACATCCAGACTTTTTCCCTGAGGCAATATAAGACAACAGTTAACATATTTTTATCAGTTTAGGTGGTCATGAGATAAACATATATGGGAGGTGGTAGTTTTTCACTTAAATGAATATAATAATGGTACAGATCTCTGAGTAGTATTTGTTTCTTAAATATTTAAGTTCCCTAAAGACGGTAAGAATAACCTAAGAAAGTGAAATTAATGTCACAAAGCACACGGCTAAATAACTGCAGGTTTGCAGTGCCATGTGTGAGATCAGATGACAGAAGGGAGGCCTACCTTCAGGCAGAGGCTTCTCATGTTCCCTGGAGTGGCCATGTGCTCTTCTACACGACTGCTTCCACTTCGGTTACGTAGAAGCTATTTAAAGCACACAGATGGTTGTGATGAGATAAAAGCCACCCTTAAGTGAATAATGGAAATTATAGCATGATTTGAGGGTGGGGGTGGAGGTGGGAGTAGAGATGGGTAGAAAGGAGTGCAAGGGAAACAAAGGAGCCTTCATAAAATTAAAGTCACTTAGGATAACATGATTGATTTACTCAACACCTTCTTAGGAACATAAAGCAAACAAGTGGGTTTTCCTTTTACTGCTTTTCTGAAATGAGCTACACTCAAGAAAGCAACATGGGGGTTGTGCTGTCCCTGCACAGTGGCAGGAGAATATGGGGAGCAGCTGAATGCCAGAACAGCTCCATCCAAGATCATTTTTCACACGCATGAACCATTCTTATACTACCTTTTACTGGCAATTTCTGTAGAAATCTGGAAGTCTGGTTGACAAATCAGGCCCTTGAACTTTGCAATCACGGTGGCATTCATATATTCATTCAACAAGTATGTGTGTACGGGACAGTGGAGCAAATAAAACAGATACGTTCCTACTGTCATGAGGCTTAACATTTAAGGAGGGAATTAGGCAGTCATGAAGTAAACATAAAAATACAGATTGTAATAGGCACTATGGAATAATGAATACTTTGGGGAACACAATTTAAATTTGAAATATATCTCAGTTCCATTAACACATGTTGAATGTGAATGGCATGGCACTTTTTTGCTGGACTTAGGGCCTGGATACAAGCATATTGGGGTAACTTCTGAAATGCATCGTAGGGTAATGCATTTCCTTCCATTTGGGCCCAAGTGTATTATTTACCACCCAGTTGTGATGAGCTGGGATCCTCCTGCTCAATCTCAGCTTGAAGCACTTGGAGGTTACCTGCCTGCTGTGGGTGATTATTTTGGAGCAAGGTACTTCATTTGCCTCAAGAAACAGATTTGATACCACTACTGTCCCCTTTTGGAACAGAGAAGTAGGCAAGACCCCAGTGTGAGGCAGAGTGATGGGATCTTTAGGATGCCAGAGTCATTACATCATTATGTAATGTATGTAATTGATGTAACTGATGATTTTGGAGTTTATATATTTCCAAAGTTTCAAAATATTTTCACTTGGCTGATTTATCTTTATGGTGATGACAGTAAGTAGATATATGCCCTCCTTAAAAGTAACAGTGAGAGTTGACATTGGGAAAAGGGAGGCTTGGCCAGGGTTATGCAGACACAGTACGGAGGAGGATGGAAAGTTTCTGAGACACCCCAGTTAACTGTGTGGATCCACAAAGCACATGTACAGTCTGCTCTGTGCACTGGAGGTACAGCCACGAAAAAGACAGTCTCTGCCCTCATGGAGCTTGGTGTCTGTCTACTGCAGCAGACAAAAACAAACCTGCTTTTTCTCATTTGCCTCTGCTGTGGGTTCCTTGTGTAACTCTCAAATGCTAGCATTTCCATGGATCCTTGTCCTTCTCTCCTCTCTGCCTTTTCCAGGATGATAATTTTCCTGGCCACGGGTTCAGCTATGGTCTATGTGCTGGAGTCATACATTTTTATCTTCTGTGTACATTTTTCTCTAGACCCGTATTTTTAACTGCCTCAGGACAGCTCTCCCTGGATATCCCTCAGACACAACTAACACGTCATTCAATTGTACTATTAATAATTTTCCCTTCAAAACCCACTCTTCTTCTCTGTAGACCCAACAGCAACACTGTCCACCCAGCTCTCAAAACCTGAAATGGGGGAGCTGTCTTTGACTCAACTCTCCCATGCATGAGCACTGAATCAATCACCGAGTCCCTAGCATGTCTTGGACTCTGGCCTCCCTTCTATCCTCAGATTGTCTGCCTTTTAAAAATTATAGCAATAACTTAACTGCAAAGACCACATGTACACTTGTGCTCTTTCAGTTTGCAATAAACATAAAATGTAAAACTGATTATGTCTTTGCTTCTTAACGTCTGCAAAATAAAGTCCAAAGTCCTTGGTATGGTCTGTAAGGCCCTCATTATCCCAATCTCATCTTGATTCCTTACAGCCTGCACTCAGATATACTAAAGAGCGTCCGCCTGTCTGCCTCACACACACCTATCCTGTCTGTCAAGATTCGGCTTGACCTTCATCACCTATCTGCAGTATTTTTGGATCTGAATTCTCTGCCCACATTGTACTTTCACATACTTCTTTTATCCTTAGTGGTTTGTACTTATGCCTGCTCTAACTAGACTGTCTCCCTGTAGTAGACTCCTTGATTCAACAAAGCAGCTCTCAATCAGCCTGAAATCCGTGGCACCCGGCAAAATGGCAAACATGCAATAGGTATTTGCTCAGTAAATGTTAATGAAAGGAAAAAAATTCAAACTTCAGTTGGAATAGGATTAGAGACAACTTAAGAAGTTTCCCATAGAAATCTTCCTCATCATAAATATCATCATCCTAAATGTCCGGAGTCTTTCCACAGGTCTAATTTACCAAATGATGAAGACTCTCTTTCTCACTATGTGTGTGGGAGAGGCAGGCGCAGAACACATTTTTTTTGCTGCAAGTCTGCTCTCTGGATTCATTTTTCTGGGGATGAAATCTCAGGCTGTGTAGCTTTTCTGGTCCCTTTTTGGTAATCAACAAATCATCAGTTGTTCTAGGGTATTAAAAAGCCCACACCTTTGAAACATCAAGATGCCAAACTCTCTCTTAATGGAAAACATAATTCCACCTCTTACTGAGGCCTTTGAGTGGGAAGCTTAAAGACAGCAGTGTGGGGAAATTGGTTTTTCTTTTCCTCCCTCCACCTTCTTTCCCATTCAAGAGCTGCTGCTGCCCTTTCTGGAGGGGAGGGAATTAGAAGAAAAGATCCTGCCTTACCCAGTCACTGTTAATTATTACTCTGAGCCAGGGTGGTGAATGACTGTTTCCTGGAATACACGCTGCTGGGAACCACCGCTGAGATTCTCTAAGCAGGCAGCTTCCAACCTCTCCTCCCTCAACAGCTTCAACATTATATGGCACTCAGCTGCAGGGTGCCTGGCTCCAGGCAGGCAGCCCACTTGTGCAGGGTAGTTTTCCAGATGGCTCATAGTCCATCTCTTTTCAGTGACCAGTGTGGCCCCTGGGAAACATACGTCTTGACTCCATTATTGGTGGGAGTACTCTTTAGTTAGTTGCCACAGGCCACTTCAGACATGTCTTACCCTGAGACCCTTTTCAGAGTCAGGTACCATCCCTCTGTCTCCTAGCATCTAAAGATCACAGCTGAAGGTCTCCAAGTAGTTCACTTAAAAAATACCTCAGTAAGTTTAGGAACAGGGAAAGCCCCCAATTCATTCTGAGAGCTGTATGACTCTCATCCCCAAACCAGACAGATATATAATATGAAAACTACAGACCAATATTCCTTATGAATATACATGCAAACATTCTAAACAAAATACTAGCAAACCAAATCTAGCAGCATAGAACAAGGTTTATGTAGCATGGACAACTGAGATTATCCCAGGAATGCAAGGTTAATTCAATATACAAAAGTCCATTAATACAACATATTAATAGAATAAAGGACAAAACAACATGACAATCTTGATACAGAAGAAGCATTTGACAAAATCCATAGCCCCTCCTTTTTTTTTTTTTTTTTGATTAAAAAACACTCAGTAAACTAGGTTTAATAAAAGAATTTCCTCAACTTGATGCAAACCCACAGCTAACATCATACTCAATGCTGAAAGACTGAATGCTTTCCTCCTAAAATCAGGAACAAGAAAAAGATGTCTGCTCTTGTCACTTCTATCCAATACTGTACTGGAGGTGCCAGCCAGTACACTAAGACAAGAAAATGAAATAATAAGAATCTAGACTGGAAAGGAAGAAGGTATTTCTGTTCACAGATGCATGATCCCATAAGCAAAAAATACTAAGTGACCAAAAAAATAGAATTTTAGAAAAGCTACAATACACATGATCAACATACAAAAATCAATTTTATTACTAAGACCAGTGATGAATACAAAAATAAAAATTAGAAAATAATCATATAAAGTGGCATCAATAAAATACTTAGAAAAAAATTAAAGAAGTCAAGACTTGTACACTGAAATCTATAAAACATCACTGAAATAAACTAAAGACCTAAGCAAATGCAAAGACATCCCACAGTCATGGAATAGAAAACCTAATACCATTAAAATAGCAGTTATTTCTCAAATTTATCAATTCAACTAAATCCCTATCAAGATCCCAGCTTTGCAGGAATTGACACAATGATCCTAAAATTCGTATGAAATGCAAGGGACTGAAAATAGACAAATGATTTTGGGGGGAAAAAAAACTGGCAGACTTGCACATCCCAAATCCAAACTTAGTACAAAGCTACAGCAATCAAGACAGTGCGGTGCTGGTATAAGGATAGACATATATGACAACAGAGTTAAGACTAAGAATCCAGAAAGTCTTACATTTATGGTCAACTGTTCTTTCACAAGGGTCCCAGGACCATTCATGGGGAAATTAAAATAGTCTTTTCAACAACTGGTGATTGGGCACATGGATATATAGATACCAATGCACTTATGAAAAAAATGGATGAAATAGGAAGCTTCACTACATTCTACTGCATGCTGGGTCATTTTCAATCATTTAGGTGGCAACACTGACAAGATAACAGAAAAATGGAGGCAATAACATGTGAAAGGCAAAATGGTTTTTTTTTTTTAAAAAAGGGACAATATCCATCATGAATTTACTTACACTCCAGGCAAAGGTTATTAAAAGAAAAAAAAAAATTCCTTAACTGAAATGTGGAAGGGGTATCAAGAGCAGACCCTACAAGAATTCCAGTGACTCCTCACTGTTCAACTAAGAGATGTACCCCACCATGCTGTGCTACCATGGAAGCACTGGAGGCACTCTGGGGGTTGATGACGTCTTCATGGATGAGGTACTTTAAAAATGTGGTCATGAAGAGTATTTGAGAAATATGACAAGATGCTGGGTAGGAATGCAGGGAGAAAAGTGTGTAACCCACGGCCAAATTGGAAAGATCAGTGAGGGGGCAATTTGTGGAGGCACTGAACGCAGAGAATATTAAAATTAGCAAGATGGTGTTCTAGCACAATGAAAAGGATTGGAAGAGGGAGATCAGAGTCAGGGAATTAAATTAGGCAGCTGCTAAGAATGTCCAGGTGAGTCAGAGGATCAGGACCTCTAAGGGCAGTATACATAAAGGAGGAATGACAGGAGGGGTTTACGGGGAAAGAATTGACAACCTGTGACAATTGAGGAATGAGAGATTTTGATGATTGGGGTGAAGGTTACATTTCGTAAAAAGAAACAAAGAATGGTCGACAGAGACGGAAGATGAAGAATTTTGTTTTTAGGCCTACTGACTTTGAGGTAGCGGGAAGAAATCCTGGAGACAGAGGTCTGAGTAGAAGATACAGAATTGGGGAAGAATCTTTGGGAGTGCCTGAGGTTGACTAGAGAGAACTGGGCAAGAACAGGTAAGGACTTTAAGCAGAACTGGAGGAGTATCCATCCAAAATCTGGGTAAATTGGGAAGGAAAAATAAGCAGCCAGAGAAGCAACAGCTCAAGTTAGGGTACAGTCAAGGTTATAGATAGGTGTTACTGATTTTGGCAATGAGGAGGTTATAAGGATCCTTGAAGACTGTACTTTCAGTGAAACTGTCATGGATTAGTAGCCTTTCACAGTGATATCTACCCCACACCTGCATCGAAATCTTGCAGTGGCTGTTAACAAATGCCAACCCACTAACAGGGAGGGGAGAAAAAGACTTGGGACTCTGTACTTGTAAAACCCTCTACCCTCCCCAGGCAATTCTTTACACACTAACACTGTTGAGGTAAAAGGAGGCAACCAAATGAGGGAGCAAATGGAAGGTGTGTTTTGGATTATACAGTGGCCCATGGAAGTGTGGGAGGGGTACAGATGGCCCTTAGATAGACACTGGTGGAAAGTCAGGAAAAAAAATTGCGGTAAGCAGGTAAAGGGATCAAGAGTACACAGGAACTGGTCTTGGGACGACATTTCTTTCTCTGACAGTTTGTATGGAATTCTTGGGGAAATTCCTCAAAGGGGCCTGGAATCTCAGAAGGGTCATGTTTTTAATGGGAACAGGGAGTGATGCTGCCCCATTACAACCATCTGTTCTAACAGAATGTCTGTACCGAGGAGGGATGAATAACAGCAAGGTCTGTTTGAAGCCTCATTTTCAAGTTTCTTTTTGATATGGATCTCCCTATACAAGCAAGCATCCCCAAAAGTAGTTATCTCAGGAAACCAAGGTTAGGATGACCAGCTCATTTGCTGGAGCTGCCAAGGTCCAGAAAAGTTTGGCTGCAGGCTGTTTTCATGTTTTATGTTTGAAATGTTCTATAATGAAAGTTAAAAAAAAGCATTTATTTGGAAAACCAGTTACTTTAGTTTATGGTTCCTTTTTTTCCCTCCAGAGCTTCCCGGAGATTGAGGTCTAATTCAAAGAAAACCAAACTATATAATAGAGTACCTGGGCAAAAAAGTACTTTTATAACATAACATTTGGGGTAGAGGAAGTATCCACTATCGTCAAAACTTCTCTGTTTTCCTCTTCCTTATTGTTCCGGGACATTCCATGCAGCAAAAGTCAGAGGAGTGACAACATGCCTAGCATAATTAAGCAAGCTAGAGCAGCTAGTCTGTGCAACTGATGATTTTTTCCCTCTAAAATTTTAAGGGTAGGTTCATTGTGACTCTGTTAGAAGTCTACTTGATGTGAATTCTGTAGCTGATAACCTATTTCAATTATCACTTTAAAATTTGTCATATGGATACATTATTACAATCATAGAACTTCAGTACCGTAATAATAAAACTTGAGAACTGAAGAGCACACATTTCTTCACGAATTTATTATATAAAACGCCCTCAGAGTATTTAATTTCTCCTCACTTTAATTACACATTAAGAAGCACAGTGGATGAGAAGCCTTTAAGATGACTACAGTTGCACGAAGGTCCCTTTCATCAAGGTAGCGTACGTACCTTAACAGTGTTCTAAAGGCTGGCCCAGAAAAACCCCATGTTACCTTATCACAATATGGAAAGCATTGTCTTCTTTTTCCACTAAATTATGGTGAAAAGTGCCACAGTTTTATTTAGCATTATGGTACATAACAGTTCTGTCTCAATTATGAAAAAATTAAAATAATCCTGAAAGACATCCTTTTTCTCCCCCCAATGATTTGAAAGCTGCATTTTTCCTGCCAATTTCAAACAAATCATCAGGTTGATCTACAGTAATCAGTTAAAACAATCACCAAGGCACAAGCTCAGCACATTAGCTATAGCTTGTAGCAAAAGGATATATCAATGTCTCACCTTAGTTAAAAATACATAATCCTTTTATTTTATAATGCAATAAAAGAAATTAACATCACATACACAGAAGACTAGGAAAGGGGAAACTACTTACTTCCGAAAATCCAGTAATGTAAACCTACTTGTACTTTTCCATAGTACATGAAAGTAATGTTTAACATGTTTTGAATTAAATTTAACCTGTGGGGCTATACAATGTAATTCTTAGGAGTAATAGTTTCATTCATTTCCAGGTCAGCTTACTGTATGATTAAGTAACACAAGGCACAGTAGCCATCTTTTTCATTATGTTGCAACACTGATCACGTGCCTCGATAAAATGGCTGATTCAACAAGATGATGGCAACACGAAGGGGAGACTTTGGATTGTCTATTTAAAATCTAGGTAATAAGTAATTAATAAAAACTCTATCTTAAGTGCACTTTCACATGCTTTTTGTTTATAATAAACAACAAACTTCCTAACTTTGTTGCAATAGGCTTGACTACCATTTCATTTGGCCAAATGCACTTTCCCCAGTAAACTTAAAATAACAAGAACAACAAGAACAAAAATCCCTGTCCTTTCATATACTAAGAAAGAGGATTGGCTACTGAAACAGTTCATTGCAAGACACATGAAGACAACATACTGTGGCATGAGTTGTTTTTTAATTTGTTGTGCTGTTACTAAAGTTCTGAGGGCTGCAGTTAAAACATTCCAATTTCTCCCTTCCATCTTTATTGATTCTCAAGATTTTGCACAGAAAACTCTTTGGGGGCTAGAACAGCAGTAATTGCATCACACTGTTTCAAAGACTTCAAGTTTCAAAAGCAAATCATTAAAAAAAAAAATACAGTTCCTGATTTGAGTTAGATACAGGGACAAAAAAGTAGCACATACTTGAAGGTTACATGGTCTACAAATAATGGTGGCAATATTTTTCTTGGGAGAGTAGTTCTGTTGGTATATATTTTTTAAATACTCAAAAGGCTCAACCTCAAGCAGTAATAAACACAAGCAAAAGTGATTTAACCCTTAAAATAAATATTCAGAAAAACCTCTCTGTACATACAAGTGAAAGAATATGTAACACTTTCACGCAAAAAAATAATTATAATAATAATAAAGGATTTGTTCATATATGTAGCTGAAATCTGCTGTTCCAGCCCACATGTCCCCAAGAAAGAAGGGAGGCACAGACAGAGGTGACTACTGTGGTTCACTATCTTACAGCCTTTTTGTACTGGGACACTATCACCACCAAACATTTATCCCTCTTGTTATATTTTTAAAATTTTTTAAATTTTTTCTTTTTTTTTTCTTCCTTTTTTTTGTTTTATTTTGTTTTGTTTTACAGCATGCCAAATCCTTTGGCATACGTGATGGCCTTCAACAATCTCTCTTTAAGTTTTTCTTTGCTTGAATATTCCGGAAGTAAAAGCACATTAAAGCAAGTATGAGATGTAGGTAACCTAAATAGAGAAAAGGGGAAAAAACAGGAAAATAATAAGTCATGGGAAATACACTTAGAATTATATATAGTTGAGATGGTCTGCAATGCAAACTATACATTAATGCAAATCATACACTTTTTGTTGTGTAACTACCAAGAATCAGTTTGTCTTTATCCTATAAATTACTCAAAGCTAGTAACAATGATGGTAAGATACTTATCCATTGAGTTTTTACTACATACCAGATACCGTTTTAGGTATTTAATTATTACAGTTCATTTCACTAAATCTTTCCACAACAAAACCACAGAGAGGACATCAGTAAATGCACTTCAGAGGTTAGGTCACGGAGAAGTAACTTCCTCTAAGGTGGAGAAAATATGCAAACCTGCTTTACAAGATTTCAAACTGTGTGCTCTTAAATGCTTATTAGAAATACTGCTGGCAGTATGACTATGAAAATGATTTGATAACGGGATTCTAGCATAATCGAATGATAATCTTCCAAGCCTCAATGTAACCATTCTAAATAGATTATCATGTAACACGGCTTTCAACTAACAAGCTGGGAATCAAAAAAGTAAATGAATCATACTAATTTGAAAAATTCCAAACCAATGTGAGTCCCATAATAATTTTTAACTAGGGCAATTCCTTAAAAGTTTCCTCACACAATGACAGCAAAATATTTTCTCAATTGTCTAATATGATTTGAGGATTTGTAGATAAAATCACAAAGGTGCTTAGAAACTATAAAGACAGTTCATATGTGTGTGATGAGGAATGCAAAGTTTTCAGTAGGTATAGAGTCACCACTTAATAATTACCTTTCTGTGTCTGGGCCATTTTTGGCTATAATCATCTTTAATTTTCCTAGTCCTCCCACAGGTGCTCTGTCTGTGCCCGTTGTAAACTGCAAGAAGAGTCTTTTCTGTTCATCTGTAAATGAATGAACGATTTCCCAGAACTCCCTAATGAGAAAAAATACAATACTGGTTTCAGTTTGGCATTCATTATGACTGGTACTAATATAAGCTTATGATTTGCATTTAAACTATATTAAGAGACAACTTGGAAGTTAATTATCAGGATAATATCACTTCTGGTGATTTAATAATTTCCAAGCAAATTTATCTTAAACAGTTCTGAATACATAAAAATTTAGATTACAATATAGTAAAGTATTAGTACTACAATAGTAAAAAATTGAGAAAACCCAAGTGTGTAATAACAGGAAATGACTATGTAAACTATGGTATAATCACATTATGTAGAGTCAGTAACAAACAAAAGACAAAATCCTATGAATTGAAAAAGACTGAAAGGAATATTGGGAAAGATTAACTCCAGGTGCCTTTGGGTATATATTTTATTTATCCTTTCTCCATTATTCTCCTTGTCTACTCATCCTTTAACTCAACTTTGGGGGGGAAAAGTGATACAGATTAAGGACAAAAGAAAAAAAAGACCCCCTGCCCCAACCAACTGGCCCCAAATGCAAACAACTATATACATACCTAATAGCAGTAATACAAAAGTTCAATTTTTATAGGAACTAGAATACTTTTAACAAGTAATATGTGCTGTGTATGGAGGAGGAGAATCATTCTGACATTTCTGCCATGTGCAGTTATTTTAAGAGAATGATTTATCCTCTGGCATTCCTAAAATCTATGTAATAAAAGCTATGTTTTAATGACACTTACGTTAGTTTGAGTTCTAAAAAACGAAATACAAGCTCATAAAGTGCAATCTTGAAGTTCGTTTGAATAATCAGGCATCTATAAAACATATATACACTAGTTCATAGTTAAATAATTTTTTTTTTTTTTTGAGACAGAGTCTCACTCTGTCACCCAGGCTGGAGTGCAGTGGTGCGATCTCAGCTCATGCAAGCTCCGCCTCCTGGGTTCAGACCATTCTCCTACCTCAGCCTCCCAAGTAGCTGGGACTACAGGTGCCCGCCACCACACCTGGCTAATTTTTTTGTACTTTACTGTAGAGGTGTGGTTTCACCGTGTTAGCCAGGATGGTCTCTATCTCCTGACCTCATGATCTGCCCACCTTGGCCTCCCAAAGTGCTGGGATTGCTGGCATGAGCCACCACGCCTGGTCTATAGCTAAATAATGTTAAGATTAAAACATTTTTTTAAAAAAGTATTTTTAGTCACTTATATAAAATGCATTTTAATATTTATTCAGAAAGTTCTTTCCAGAGCCTGGTGTGATGGCTCACGCCTGTAATCCAAGCACTTTGGAAGGCTAAGGTGGGTGGATCACCTGAGGTCAGGGGTTCGAGATCAGCCTGACCAACATGTTGAAACCCTATCTCTACTAAAATACAAAAATTAGCCGGGTGTCGTGGCGGATGCCTGTAACCTCAGCTACTTGGGAGGCCGAGGCAGGAGAATGGGAACACAGGAGGTGGAGGCTACAATGAGCTGAGATCACACCATTGCACTCTAGCCTGGGAAACAAGAGCACCACTCCATCTCAACAAACAAACAAACAAACAAAATTATTTCCAGAATGTTAGCAGAGAACATCACACATCCCAAATCAGTAATTACAATTTTCTAGTTTTTCATATTCTAATATTCCAACATACTATTTTTATTACCAAAATGCTGGCATTTTTGTTGCTGCAACACCATTTATCTGAAATAAATTAAAGGTTTTATTAGAATTCTTGGCTTTCTCCAATCTCTTGCCACTTCCCTTCCCTGCCCCTCTACGAATCTACCAGTCAGCCAGAGAAAACAAAAAAGAAACACACAACCACAGAAAACGGGACGTGAAACTAGCAGGAGCATCTCTCAGTTAAGGAGGAAAGGAATCAGACCCCAGTTCATGACATTCCTTTTGGGGAGGCTGGCAAGAGAAAATAAGTCTGCTGTAGCACACAGCCCTCCAGCATAGCAGGAAAGCTGCCCTGCAGTGGGTGGTGATAAAGCCTCCTCACACTGCAGGGGGTGGTGATAAAGCCTCCTCACACTGCAGTGGGTGGTGATAAAGCCTCCTCACACTGCAGTGGGTGGTGATAAAGCCTCCTCACACTGCAGGGGGTGGTGATAAAGCCTCCTCACACTGCAGGGGGTGGTGATAAAGCCTCCTCACACTGCAGTGGGTGGTGATAAAGCCTCCTCACACTGCAGGGGGTGGTGATAAAGCCTCCTCACACTGCAGTGGGGCTCTGAAGCTTAACTGAACCAGCTACACCTAAGGAGGCAGATCAAAGAGCACCACCGAAGAGGAGAGACAGACCCTGCAGGAAGTGGCAGATGAGCAGTGGTCACAATGACCAGTCCCGCTATATAGCTGCTGCTTTGGTCTTTCTTTTAAATGAAACCTTTAAAAATTTTATACAAAGAAAATAATTAGGGAACAAAATTTGTCTCTTCCTATAAGTGTTATGTGTGTTACATTAACACGTTGAATTAAATAAGAATGCATTTATTTAGAAAGCTGAAGAAAAAATGAAGAGGCTTCCAGGTTTCCACAAAAAAGTGGTGGCTGTATCGATCACATCCTACTAACATCTCTAAAAATCTATCCAGATCAAAAAGGGGAGAAATAAAAAAAAAAAAAACCTATGACTTAGGTCTAGAGTAAAACTAGGAGACAGAGCAATAAACTCCAAATACCATAGAAGTGGGGAAATGAGCAGGGTCCAGCAGGAGCTACATCGAAGAGTGGCTTGTGCAGAATCATACTGATTAGGGATCACCTAAGGCCAGACCGCACCCGCCTCCACCACCCGCCCCTCAACAGAGCACTACTGAGGGCAGGTTAGAGCACTGGCAACGGGGTGGTTAAAGGAAGGACTACAGAAAAGTAGTTGGGTCCAGCAATGGCAGGCTCAGGAATGCACCATGCATGAAAGGAAGATGGGTACCTTGGAAAGCAGAAGTGTCCCTTAAGTGGCTGTAAAGGGGTGGAAGCAGCTAATGAAAAAGAATCTTCATTAAGTGGATGGAGCTGAAAAATTAGCAAGTGGTGATTCTGCCCTTACTAAAGCAACAGAGGAGGGATGCCTTCAGCCAAGACTCCTAAAGCCATACAAATTCCTCTCTGCTCCACTCTAAGGTCTAGTAATAACATGTCCAGAAAAAAAGTAACATCTATTATAGAAACATAAACAAGAAAAACAGAATTCCTAAGTCCAAATAAAGTTATTATGGAAAGAGTCTGGCAAATGAGAAGCAAAACTTTCCAGTAGACAAAAGTACACCAGAAAAATTCAGTCATAAACAACAGGAAACTCGTAACACCACATTCCAACACAAAGGGAGAATGTAGCAGCAGACAAGACAGACCACCAATGATGAGAAATACAAATTCAGAGAGAAATGAGCACATCTTAAATAGAAATAAGAATACTAAAAAATACTGAAGAAATATGCAAAGTAATTTTGGAAATAAAGGCTAATTTTATTATAAGGTGACCAAAGAAGAAGCAATATGACTAAAATTTCTACTGAGGACAGAGTCTAGAAAATTAAAAAACAAAGAAAATGAATAAAATAAACCTAACTAAAGAAATGCGTATCAAAGCATAGTAACGAAAAAGATTAATAGCTGACTACATAAACATAAAAGCTTTCACTTGGCAAAAATCCTATAAGCAAGGTTAAACGACAAATGGCAAACTGGGAAAAAATATTTGCAAATTTACCAGCGTTAAAGGACTAATCTCCTTAACATATGAAGTTTCTAAAAATGAAGAAAACAACCGAGCAGCAAAATGAGCAAAAGACCATATAAAACTATAAACAGCTCTTAAGTACAAGAAAAAATGTCCATCATCATTCATAACTGAGGTAAACTCAAAAATTGTAAGTATAGTAAAATACCATTTCTCAATTGGCAGATAAGTAAACATCCACATTTAACAACACATTATGTTTGGAAAGTTTTAAGAAAAGAGAGACTGTTGTAAACTGGTGGGAATGCAAAATGTTACTTTTCTGTGAAGGAGAATTTGGCAGTATCTAGCAAAATTATATATGCATCTACCATTTGATGCAACAATCCCACTTCTAACAATTTATCTTAATGATACCTTACATATGTAAGGAATAATGCATGAACATAAGAGGATTCACTGTGACATTAGTACTAACAGCAAAAGGTTAAAAATAACCTCGATGCCTATAAATACTGATAAGCTATGCCGCATCCACACAAAGTAGCAGTATTCAGTCCTACAAAACAAAATGGAAAACACCTCTGCAATGATGTAGGATGATTCTCAGGATACACTAGAAAGATTACTTTCCTAGTTCTGTCCTCTGATAAGGCCTACAAGTAGTAACATTCAAAACCAAAGGCCATACTTTGCATCTAAAATCTGACTTCTAAATGCCATTCTCCAACAATTTATTGGAAAAATAACTTATTCCAGGACTGAGACTGAATGTTCGAGATTAGCTAGAAATTTCAAAATCTAATAGAGTCATTTTAAAAGCACAAGAAGGCTAAGGAATTTGAATATCATTTAGAGTAATGACTGTGAAACATATTAAATACAAAAACACTGAGTTCTTAATATTCAAAAAGGCAGCAAAACCAACCAAAAAACAAAATTAAATTGTCACTATTAAAGTTATTACATTAACTTCTTACTCTAAAAACCTTAAATCTATTTTATCATGCCTTTTCAGTAGAACTGTTTTTCAAGGTAATCGAATGGCACCCAGTGATGAGAAAAAACAGTGCCAGGTATATATGTAGGACAAGCAGATGGAATTTTTTTTTCCCTAAACAGCCATTTTGCAATCCCAATGAGATAACAGATTAAGGTAATGATACTGATAAATACGGAAATCAGGTGAAGGGCAGATGGCACGTTCTGGAAAGATGATGATAGCAGTGACATAGTTATTATTTATTTATTTATTTTTTTTGGTTTTATTCCCTCCCAACCTCCCCTACAAAAAGAGCAAACTGAGAAAACCAAAGACCCAGAGAC